CTACTGAAGATGACTCTCGTACATTTAGAGTCAATGGTCAGCGGTTGAAATTGTATGTGGGCATGAACGAGCCTAAGGAGATGACCGAGCTGCATTTGAATGAACCCCAGAGGTCGAGCGAACCTTAATTTCGCTCACTTGAGTCGTGCCGCGACGTTAAATCAGGCGCTACGTGGGAGGCAACCCATGACATTGTTGTAATTGTAACCTTTGTAATCTAGCTTAAAAAAAAAAGGGCGTTAGAATCAGAACAGGCGTTCTACCGCGGTTCCACCGCGACCGCGGTGAAACCGCGGTAGATTACGCCCGCGGAACTTCACTGCTGCGGTTCCACCGCGAAAGCGGCAGAACCGCGGCAGGCCCAGACGCGGTCAGGTATTATGTTATTTTAATTTTTTTTTTCTTTTTTTTCTTTTCTTTCTTTTTTAATCTTTTTAAAACACCCCCCCCCATCTAAATACATTATTTTCCGCCCCAAACCCCCATTCCCCTCTTTCTTTCCCTCTCTCTTCACAAACCAACTCTCTCTCTTCCTCTTCTTCTTCAATACCCTTCATCCCCAACCTCCACTCCCATACCTCCATGTTTCTCCTCTCTTCAACTCAAGTAAGTTCTTCTTCTCTCTCTCTATTTCTTTATTTTCTAAGTAGTGTAATTTGTTAATATTGTAGTTGTAGTTGAACCCTAGTTAGGATTAGTATAGTCATTTCAATTTTTTGCTTTCTTGTATGATTACTATGGTTATTGTTGTTGTAGTTGATGTTTGGGGGGTTGTTGGTGCCACATTAGTTGGGGTCTCCATTATAATATAATTGTGAAATTGTTTTGGTGGTTTGGAGACCTAAACTAGTTTTATGGTGTATAATGGTATTGGGTCATGTGTTGCCCAAGAATGGTGGTACTATGTTGTCTATTTTTGGGGGTGTTCTAAGCCCGACTTAGGTTTGGGGTGTTGTACAGGATGGTTGTTGTTGTATGGTCACTTGTTGGTTTAAAAGATAATTGTGTTGTAGTTTTGTTAGCATAGGTGCTAATTGTTGGAGAATGGTGTTTGTCTTTTGGTGGTGTTGTATATAGGGGATAATATTGAATGGACTAAGTGTGGGGTGTATGTCGCCTGATGTGGTACGGAAAAGGTGGAGCTGTTGTTGAGTTTGTTATAGCTGGTGTCATTGGGTGGTGAAGTCTGAGTAACCATCTTATTGGCATTAGCTACTGCAATTGGTTGATGGTTTGTTCACTGTTTTCAGGATTAATGGCTCCCAAAAGGCACAGGCGCTCTGCGGTCCTTCCCACCGACCTGCTTATGATGAATCTAGATTCCAATCGGAACAGGCTGAGGATGACTTCCGTGCCAAAGCTAATAAAACGTTCATTCAGGAAATCCCGATTGATCGGGCTGCCCTCCGAGTTGAAAAAGTGGAGATGTATGAAGAGATCCGGAGGCGGGAAATGGAGTTCCTCTTTGCTGACCCTGCACCTGTCAACAAGATGTTGGTTCGTGAATTTTATGCAAACTGCCCATTGAATTTGGGTAGGGAGTTGATTGTGCGGGGTACGGTGGTCAGTGCTCAGATTCCAACAATTCGCCGGGTGTTGAGGTTACCTCCATTCACCAGCGATGTTGACTACTATCATGACAGGGCCGGGGTGACATGGGAGGTCATGACAAATGTGCTTTGCACGGAGGGGCGACCTATTTGGCTAAAGGAAGATATAACCCTCAACTCTAACTCCTTCACTCACCTAGCTAAGTGTTGGTTGACGGTTATCTGTAGTAGGTTCCTACCGTCCAGCAACTCAACGGACGTGAACTTCAACAGGGCACTGTTGACTTGGTGCTTTGTGACAGGGAAAGATTTCGATGCAGCACGGATAATTGGCGATGAAATGGTCTTACGGGGACCGCTGCTGTCTAAGGGATTCTACTTCCCTTCTTTGGTAACCACACTATGCTTGCTGAGGAACACCCCTACCAACCCTGCTGATGGTGACTTGCCCCCAAAAGCAGCCTTCAAAGCTTCCGGTATCAGAGTGGGCAGAGGCACCCGCACTACCATTGAGATAGATGATGAGGAGGACGATCCGGTCCCTATGGCACCATCTAGGCGGTCTGTAGACAGTGCTGGACCCTCTTGGCGCTCTCATTCTGGAGCAGACCTATCTCGCTCACAGTCCTCCCGGCCTATGTTGCGCTCCTTGGAGGACGAGGTCGCGGATCTTCGCACCTCGGTGGATGGTCTACACACACGGCTGGACGCCATGTCACAGAGGCAAGCTAGATCTGAGAGCAAGTTTATGGCTTGGTTGCGTGCGTTGGGAAGGGCCTGCCATGTCGACCCCAGTACCGTCTCCGACTCAGATTGAGTTTCAGGGAAGTTTTCTCACCCTTCTGTTCTTTACTATATTTTGATGACATGGGGACATGCCATTGTTTTAAGTGTGGGGTGGGAGACTTGCTCTGACTGTGTATGGTAATGTATATAGATGTATATCGTTGTGCTGTATCATTAGAGTAATATGTTGTATATGTGTGAGTTGTTATATTAGGATTAGCTGAATTGGCCCAACGATGGACACTTCTTGACGGGGTTCTTGAGGGTCTAAGTCAGTAATTGGTTGTAGAGGACTTTTCCTGATGACGGACTAGGTGGACAATACTCTTGAGGGAAGTAGTCCATGTAGGGTTTTTATTTTATTTTATTTTCTTCTTTTAGGTAGTGTAGTACCTCCCCCTTGGTTTTTCTTTTGACCACGGTTCTTTTCCAAGGGTTTTTCTTGAACCGGGTTAGGTAGATTTTTCTTTTTGAAGTTTAAGAATAAATGGGTGAATGTCAGAATGTAACCCCAAATGTGTACACTTGTATAGAAAAGAACTTGAGTGTGTGACAGCTAAGCTTGTTTGTGGACTCATAATATATGCCTTAATTTTGCACATCTTGTCTTGCTTGAACACTCGTATGATTGTGTTGATGAACTGATTCGGAATGAGTTACATGCTAAGTGTGTGTGAGCTGTTACTTGCATCTTATGTTTGCATATGATACCTAGAACTTGCCCTCTGTGTGTGCAAAGCGAAATAGAAGTTGTTCGGTTTTAGAGATGATTGAGGCATTTCTTTGTGTGACCCTTTATACTCGGAAATCCACCTGTGCATATTACCATAGTTAACCCCTTTGAGCCTGAAGCCTTTTCTTTGATAACCCTATAATGATCTAAAATGTGGTGTTTAAATACGCTAATTGAACTTTTCCCTCCTAGAAGCACTTGAAGCACTAAAGTATATACAAAAGTCAAAGTGTGGGGTGGGGAGAAAGAAAGAAAGAAAAAAAAAAGGAGAAAGGAAAAAAAGAAAAGGAGCCAGTTGTACCTAACGAGAAGTGGGGTGGAGCAAGTGAAATAAAATGTGGAGAAACAAGTGGGTTGATCATGAAAGCAAAATAAAAGGAAGTATGTATTAAAAGTGCTTAGGGAGGTTAGTCACTATATCCAAATATATCCTACCCGTCCCTTAGCCTACATTACAACCGAATAAAGACCTCTTGATCTTTGACTGAATGGCTCGATTAGTGGAGTATTACACTAGGGGCAAGCGTATGGTGTATCTGTGTGGCATGTGAATGCTCTTTGCTGAGAGTGAGGGAATTCTGTTTATATATGGTTCCTCGTTGTTGAATTTTATTGTGTGTGGAACTACTCTCAAATCGTGTTTATGTGAGGGCATGTGACTCAGGAAGAAAAAGTGAATCTTCATTTCAGTTAGAGTAATTAAAGTGAGCACAAGTGTGTCATGGGATGAGAGTCTGCATTTGAGTTATGATTGTGCACTGCTTAGGTCGGTCTTTGATAATATCAGGTGTGACATAAATTGGGGCAATACATTGCACAGTTAGATATAGAAGTGTGGTTTAGCTTGCTCGAGGACGAGCAAAGGTTTAAGTGTGGGGTGTTGATGATAGGTGAATTTGACTATAATCACGCACCAAATAATCACCTTCTTGTAAACTTTTAATGTGGAAAAATGACAACAAAATGCTCTTATTAGTGCTTTTCATGATTTGCAGGTGATATAGGTGTAAGGAAGGCTAAGGAGCGGTTTTGGAGTCAACTATTGATGAAAAAAGGCCAATTGTTGAATTTCCCAAGTATCCCATTTAAAACAGGCCAAAATTTCCGGGTACAAGTTCCACCGCGGTTCTACCGCGACCGCGGTGAAACCGCGGTGGAAGGCAGTTTCTGAAAGTTGAAGATTCCGCGAGGGCGTTTAGCCGCGGTTCTACCGCGACCGCGGTAGAACCGCGGTGGGCACAGTAAACTTCAGGGACTTAAGTGTAAAACACGGGATTTTTAGACCTAAACCCTATTTAAAACACTAGACTTCGCCCAAGAGAGGCATGTATTGATTTTTTAGGTTTCTTAGCAAGGAAAACAATTGGGAGCAAGTACTCTAAACATCTTTCTTCCTTTCTTTTGATTTTTATGATGAATTCAAGTGTAGTTTATTCTCCCATATCTATGAGTAGCTAAATTCCTTGTCTAAGGCTTTGATGGAACCTATTGGGTGATGAACTTCTTGTTTATGTGAATACAAATTGCTAGTTTAATCTTTATTTGTTCAACTTCGTGTTTGTTGTAGTTAATTGACAGGATCCTCAATTAGCTGTACCTATTTAGTGTGCATAACTTGGAAAAGAGTGCATATTTAGGGTATTGTTGAACAACACCACTCCTAGATTATTAGAGGAATCTATAATTGCGGGTTTAAAGGCGGGATTAGGAATAACGAAGTCTTGGGTGCAATCTAGATTGAATTGTGCTAAATAAAGCAAGCTAGTGTATCTCGGGAGAGTGCAATAGTTGATTACTGTGATTACTCGGGAGAGATTTGCGGTAAGATTAGCGTTCAAGATTGATAGAGATGAGTGGGTAAATTTGTATGAGCATAAAAAGGAGGGATTCTATCAATAGGGGAAATCATTGCCTTAGCTTTGTCCCATAATTGTTTACAACCTTATTAATTTAGTTACAGCCATTTAGTTACTTGCAAGCTAGTTGTTAAAGAATACTCAACTGAGAATTTGAATGTTTGAGAAGCTGGTGCTGAATACTTGGTGGGTTTGAAGATAGCGGTTGATAGGTTAACTCTCTATGGATTCGACCCTGGGCGTAATACTCGGGTTATATTTGCAACGTCCGCAGAGTACTTTTTATAAGGCATAGTTGGGCGTGATCATTTCACTACTCTCCTTTTAATATAATATAAATTAAGGTATGGGTGTATTTATAATAGTAAAATTCATTATTCGTGTGGAAAATGGATTATGTGTGAATGCTAATCCTATATATGTAAGGAGAACTTTTTTTATCCTTAATATATTTGGTTTTGGAAAAGCGTAAATTGTTTGCTTTATGGAAAAGAAACGTTTTTCCTAGTTGTCCTCTACTTAATTAGGTGTAATGTTTGAGAAGCAAACCAAATCAATATTAGTCATTCAATCTTTTTGAAATTCTTTGAAAAAATGCATAAGTACCTCTTGATCTATAGTCAGATTCTCAATTACACACTCTACTTTTGTAACGATCCTATTACCCCTCTTAAACTTTATTTAAATAGAATTATTTGCTCCCTTAAAATTTACGTGACAGAGTGTGTATAATTCACTGTCCTTGGGAGAATGAGAAGCAAGAAAAAATAATTTTCAGATTTTTTTTTTTTTATATTTTTAGTGAGATATATAATTTCTTACTTTTTTTCCTTTTCCTTTTTCTTTGTCTTTTTTTTACTTCTTTATTCGTTTCTTCTCTACTCCCGAAGGACATTCACTCGCCGGCGATTTTGTCTAACCATTCTTCTTCCATTTATTCTACTTTTCTTCTTCATCTTTCTATCCTTTTCACACACAAATTAAACTTTCAAAAAGATATATTCATAAGCAAAGCAAAATACATTAAGATTTTTGGGGAAAACTTCATCATCCAAAAACCTTCCCACGCCAAAAAAAAAATGGAGGTATTGAAATTTTAACTGAAAAAAGTCTTCTTTTAAGCTAGCATACACATTTATACTCATATTATATATTATCACTCACTTCTTAATTATAACATCCATCATTTTTATGCCACTCACAATCACCAATTATAGCCACCATCCAAAAATCTTCTACCATAATAGCCATTTACAGCCTCAAGTCTAGCGTAGCAGCAGAAAAAGAAAAAGGCAGATTGGCGGCTAAATAAATATGAGTGAATCTTTATTATTCCGCTTTGTTGGTGGTGAGTGGTGACTGGAGTAATGACGAATAGAAAAGATTTTTTTTAATAATGGAATCTGATGTGTCGAGTGAGTAGGATTCACTGCCTAACAGAAATTTTGGTTGTGATATTTTAAGGGTGAATTTGTTTGACTTTAAAATAGTTGCATAGTTGCAAAGGTAGAGTATATAGTTGGAAATTCCGTTACAGGTCAGGGAATACTTATACATTTTTCCAAAATCTTTTTCGCTTGTTAGCATGGAGATTATATTAACTAAAATATTTAAATCAAAATGAATATATGAGGTTCGTGTATAATTATAATCTAAGATGCCTTGTTAAATAAGTAGTATGAATTTACCGAAAATAGGACATAATACTATACCAGTAGTCTCTTTGTTCCCAGTTAGTTGTCATGTCCACAAAAAATGATTATTCAAGTAGGTTTACCATATTGAGGTTTTAATCAATAGTCTTTTTGGCCAATTAGCTTCTTGGAATCTAAATATATTTCATTAAAATCAATTTTAATGGACATTTAACTCAAATCACTCCAAACACTTTCTATTCAAATCAAAGAAGTATCCAGAAAAGGAGTTACCTAATCAAAGAAATTTCATCCATAACATCTTCTATTGTTTAGTAAGAAAAAGAAAAAGGCCATTTATTTGAACCAATTTTCCATAGTTAAATATATCAAGTGTTACAATTCTCCTTTCACAAATATTACAACTTTGTGCATTTATTATATGGCTGTGGAAGAGAAAATCATTAATCTTTTGTTACAAAATATAACACATGAGCTTTTTATGGATACAACAACTCAGTTCATAGCAAACTTTTGGGTCCAATTACGAGCCATTGATTCATACTTCTTCCAATCAGATTTGTACATATGAGCAATTTCTGGAACCAATGGATCATCTTGGATTTGGATCTGTTACTAGTGAACATATGGAAAGTAAAACCTGGACGTAGAAAGAGGTCGATTCATCAGTGTATACTCTATGTATACCAACTACGAAACCTGCACATACTTATTGGTACACAAAATTCATGCTTATTACGATATGCAAGTCCACTACTCGTCTATGTGAAAAAGGAGTTAGTGATTGAGAAGAGAAAAGAAGGCAAGTTGTTCCCTTTTCGTTCGTATAAAATACAAAAAGAAAAGAGTGATTTTAGAGAACACGTGTTTTTAGTAAAATATGTACGGGGAGCCCTATTTGGTCGCCCCCATTACCCATTTTTTTTTTTTAAAACTTTTAACTTGTACCCACTTTTTAAACAACTTCAGCCCCCTTTCTCCTCCTCCTTCTCCTCCTTCTTCTTCTTCTTCTTCTTCTTCTTCTTCTTCTTCTTCTTCTTCTTTCTCCTGCTGCTGTTGGTGCTGCTATGAAACTTCAGTTCATGGGATGATTGCCATAAGTATGTTTTGTCAGATTATTTAAAAATAAATTATAAATAATTACGTAAGTTAGTAGACAATAATTTGTGAATATTTCCACGTACTGGAAGTTTAAGGTCACACTTAGTGATTCTTTTTATGATAATTATGTTCTTTTCACGTTTATTGTTTCGAAAATTTATGATTTAAATACTGCTGGCAATCTGATTATTTTATAGTAGTAATTCACTATGAAAGAATAAGGTGATTATTTATCTAGTATGTTAGAAAGCTTTTTCAAAAACTTCAGCTTATATAGTGCTGAAGTTTTTACAAATGAACTAAATAACTTCAGCATCTTCTGCTGAAGTTTTTGAAAAAGCTTTATGACAAAACTAATGAATCCGGGACAAAAAAACTTCAGCTTATTTAGTGCTGAAGTTTTTACAAATGAACTAAATAACTTCAGCATCTTCTGCTGAAGTTTTTGAAAAAGCTTTATGACAAAACTAATGAATCTAGGACAAAAAAGCTTCAGCTTATTTAGTGCTGAAGTTTTTACAAATGAACTAAATAACTTCAGCATCTTCTGCTGAAACTTTTGAAAAAGCTTAATGATAAAACTAATAAATCCAGGACAAAAAAACTTGAGCTTATTTAGTGCTGAAGTTTTTACAAATGAACTAAATAACTTCAGCATCACAAAACTTCAGCTACTAGAATACTTAAGTTCAGCAATTACAAATAAAAACTTCAGCAAATAGAGAACAAAACTTCAACACTAGAATGCTTAAGTTCAGCAATTACAAACAAAAATTTCAGCACACTTGGTTTAGCAATTTTTGCTACTTCAGGCCCGTCTACTAGAATGCTGAAGTTCGCATGATTGCCTTTGCTACTTCAGGCCCGTATGCTGAAGTTACGCGAAAAAGTGGGTACGCTTGCAATTTTTTTTACAAAGCGGGTACAAGTTAAAACGTGACCCAAAAAGCGGGTATAGATGCAAATGTCCCGTGTTTTTAGTACACTAGAAATAAAATTAGAAGAATTAACCTAAATAGTAGCCCATCTAACTGCTTAAACTAAACATGTACAATATATGTATAATTCACGTATATAGTATGTGTATAACCTTGTATAATCAGTGTATAATTTATATATACTAATTAGGAAAAACAAACAGTGAATCTGGCTGGCTATTTATGTACCGACCTCATAAGACTATAGGAGGGAAATGTTGGCCTTGGGCCTAAAGAGTATCCCAAAACTAAATAGTAGAAATGACACCAGGTAGCCATTTTAGAAGGATGCTATTTAGAAATTAGTTAGTGTGTCCTGAATTTCAGTTTTTGAGTTCTATTTTCCAGGACATAAAGTTCTTAAGTTAATAGTTTTAATTCAAATTTTTAGGACAAAGTAAGTACGGGCTAAATCCTAAATAGCAGTCCTAAAAATGGCTATTTGTGTACTTCTTTTTATTTTAAAAATCTTTTCATTTAAGCATTTTTTATTAGTTTAAATAGTATTGTATTTTAATCTAATGATTATCATGTATGAATTATCAAGTCTGTTTTTGACAAACATGTGTTGACAGACATCCCTAATATATTTGGTTTTGGAAAGGTTTTTGTGAAAGATCTTTGGGATTTACACTATGTATTTATTTGATTTAAGGCATAAAGTGTTTCGTTTACGGAAAAGAAACGCCTTTCCTAATTATGCTCCAGTTAGGTTTAATATTTTTGAAAATCTTTTTGAATATAGTCCTTCAATTCTTTTGGAAATCTTCTTCGCTGGCAAAGATAATGTTCAACTTATCTTGCTGGAGAGCAAAACATTGGATTGCCTATAGAAGGAAACTTAGCTTGATCTTTGAAATTCTATTGCGATGGGTTAATAGAGATATGCCAAAGGTCTTGGGTGGGCGTATGTGCACTAGCGCATGGTATACGACGTGTTGCTGCATATTCCTCCAGGTCTTGGTAGGGCAAACCTAAACCTAAAAGCATGGCCTTGTTTATAGTATCATACGTTCTTTTGATGCTTGCATGGCATGATTTATGTATGTGGTCAACTCGAGGACAGATGCATTGGTACGTGTCACACGGTTGATTATGTCGCTAGCATATGTCATTGGACGTGGTCTATGTTGCTGACCTAATACTGCCTCAACCACCAGGGATCGAACCTTGACAGAAGCATTCAGTAGAGAATATACAAGTTTAATAGAGATATGCCAAAGGTCTTGGGTGGGGTATGGTACACTAGTGCATGGTACATGATGTGTGGCTGCATATTCCTCCAGGTCTTGGCAGCGCAAACGTAAACCTAAAAGCATGGCCTCGTTTATGGTATCATACATTCTTTTGATGTTTGCATCGAATGATTTATGTATGTGGTCAACTCGAGGACATGTACATTGGTACGTGTCACACGGTTGATTATGTCGCTAGCATATGCAATTGGACGTGGTCTATGTCGCTGGCCTAATCGTTGAGAGTGACCTATGTCTTCAGGTGCGACCTATGATGTTGGACTATGTCGCTAGAGGCGGTCAATGCCTATGGCGCGTAGCAAGGCACAGAAAGGTTACTGCAGTAAGCCGCCAATGGTGCACAGTGGTCAAGTCAGCATGTAGTGTGGGACATGGTAGCCTAAACGACTATTCCGTTCTACATTAATAGCATTGCCCAAACCATGTTGCAATCGGATATTTGGTTTACCTGATTCTTTTTTGTATTTTGTGTATTTCTCAGGGAACCAGTGGCTAAAGAGATGCATGATGATTTTACTATGTCAATATTGAGAAAAGTGTATGTTATCCTATTCAATTTGTTCCCCTAAATTTGTGCACAATTTTAATTCTCCTTTAGTAAAAATCAGATGATCTAAAAGGATTACATGATGAAAATCTCGTGGTATTGCAAATTATAACTTTAATTTCAATATTTGAAATTCAACTTAAGATAACAAGGTAGATATTTTAGTGAACATTATTAAAGACAAGAAGCTTTTACTTATTGGTAAAAATTTCAACTTGTGTTTGTTGACTAGATTGCTCCATTTAACTACTTTAATTTACTGCCTCAACCACCATGGATCGAACATTGACAAAAGCATTCAGTAGAGATTAAGGTCTTGGGTGGGCGTATGGTGCACTAGTGCATGGTACAAGACGCGTGGCTGCATATTCCTCCAGGTCTTGGCAGGGCAAACGTAAACCTAAAAGCATGACCTCGTTTATGGTATCATATATTCTTTTGATGTTTGCATGGCATGATTTATGTATGTGGTCACCTCGAGGACAGGTGCATTGGTACGTGTCACACGGTTAATTATATCGCTAGCATATGTCATTGGACGTGGTCTATGTCGTTGGCCTAATCGTTGAGAGAGACCTATGTCGTCAGGTGCGACCTATGATGTTGGACTATGTCGCTGGAGGCGGTCAATGTCTATGGCCCGTAGCAAGGCACTAAAGGTTGCTGCTGTAAGTCGGCCAATGGTGCGCAGTGGACAAGTCAGCATGTAGTGTGGGATATTTTAGCCTACACGACTATTCCATTCTACATTAATATCATTGCCCAAATCATGTTGCAATCGGATATTTTGTTTACCTGATTCTTTTTGTATTTTGTGTATTTCTCAGAGATCTAGTGGGCTAAAGAGATGCATGATGATTTTACTATGTCAATATTGAGAAAAGAGTATGTTATCCTATTCAATTTGTTCACCTAAATTGTGCACAATTGTCAAGACCCAAAATACACTAGTCGTGATGGCACCTAACCCAACCCGCTAGGTAAGCCAACTAATAACTATCCAATTCTAATAATATTAATAAGACAACTAAACAAAAGATACTATCTAAATCTTATACATTCCCCAAGGACTGGTAGTACAAATCATGAGCTTCTAAAAATAGAATCTACAAAGCTGATATGAAGTAAATACATCTTCTGTTTGAAAAGTACATAAACAGAGTTTTTATAAATCTAAGGCTACCATGAACAAGAGGCAGCTACAACAGGAACGCAGGTACATCTTCAATCCGGCAACCATCAAGCACAACAACAACAGCTAACATCTGCACGCAATGTGCAGAAGTGTAGTATCAATACAACCGACCCCATGTACTGAGTAAGTAAGAAACCTAACCTTAGGTTGAAAGCAGTGACGAGCTGGAACATAGGCCGGGTGCAACACAATATCCAACAGCAGTTCATAACAACGTAGAGCGTATAAATAAGGAAGTAACTCAGAAGTAAAATGCTCAACTTTTTCACAGTTTTCCGAAAATAGTTCCGCATTTCAAGAATATCAGTGAAAACTCAAATTCTTTACCGAAATCGTCGTAAAATGTGAGATAGTTTGAAAACTGTAATTTTTCTAAAAATCCTTTTCACAATAAATAAGATGTTTCATTTTCTTTCCAGATAGAAAGTGTGAGATACCTCTCTATAACCACATATCAATGTGTGTAAAACTCATGAATGACGTGATACCATACAGCATGAGGAAAATGCGTCTCTATGCATGTATGTCATATATGCATGCCAATGCCATGTATCTCAGAAATGAATCATGTACTCATACTCTCAGGGTACTCAATCTCAATGTCTCACACTTTCCACTCATCATGCTCAACCACTCGGTACTGTATATGGCCCATACGGCCCAAGAAAATCCATCCCGAAACATATACAACACTGACTATAAGTCACTCAGTATCGAGGAAAAAGGGCAATCCAACCCTGTGGAGAAATCCATCTCCAGATATCAAGTACTTCAGACAAATCCATGTCCAGGGAAATCAATCCCTCAATAATATCATCCGCGCTAACTGGGGGTGTGCAGACTCCAGAGGGGCTCCTTTAGCCCAAGCGCTATAATCTGCACGGACAACTCACGTGCTATAATATCAAAACAAGACCCGCACGGACAACTCACATGCTATAATATCAAATCAAGATCCGCACGGACAACTCACGTGCTATGATATCAATATCTCACCACTGGGCCCTAGACCTCACTCAGTCATCAATCTCTCCAGTCTCACCCACGGGCTCACGATGTCATAAAAACTGACCCAAAACAATGATATGATGTATCAATAAGTAACAACTGAGACCGAGATATAATACGAATGCATAAATATGACTGAGTACGAAATATCAATGAAATCAGTGAGATGACAGCATGCAACGACCACTATGGGTCCTAACGATATCATCATAAAGCCTAAACATGATATCTAACATGATTGACAGCTCAGTTACTTTATCACATGGTGAAAACATAGATATCAACAAAAATAGGGCCATTATACAGTGCCGTGGAGACAACGGCATCACAATTTACAGGGTGGACGCCCACACGCCCGTCAGCTAGCATGTGCGTCACCTCATCATCAATCACGTAGCATGTAATTCGGGGTTTCATACCCTCAGCACTAAGTTTAGAAGAGTTACTTACCTCGAACAAGCTAATTCCAATACCGAGCAAGCCAAGCGGTGCTCCAAAAATGCCATCCCGCGCGTTTTGACCTCCAAACGGCTCGAAACTATCCAAAAACAACTCAAATATATCAAACAATGCTAAAGGAACCAAACCTAATCGAAAAAGGTCGAATCTTTAATCAAAAGCCCAAAATCGGCCAAAAAGCACAACTCGGTCCCGCGCCTCGGAACCCGACAAAACTCACAAAATCCGATAACTCATTCAATTAAGAGTCCAACCATACTAGTTTCACTCAAATCCGACTCCGAATCGATGTTCAAAACTCAAAAATGCACTTTATTTTAGACAAAACTCCCAAATTTCACTTTGAAATCATCAATCAAATGCCAAAAAGGAAGATGGATTCATGAAATAAAACCAAAATCGAGTATAGAACACTTACCCCAATCCATATGGTAAAAATCACCTCCAAAAAATTGTCCAAATCCGAGCTCCCAAACTCAAAATATGACCAGATGAACAAACCTTCGATATTAAGTACTTTTCCCCAGCTGTTCTGCCTCGTTTGCGTTCCAAACGATCCCAAAACTTACTTTTGATACCTCCAATGGATTCCTCGTGAAATTTTAGTCAAGATAGACTTTTGAATCACTCCATTTGACCTTATAATGTAGGAGATATTTTAGTTTCAATATTTGGAAATAGTGCAGATTTTTAAATATGAAGTTAGTGGCAACTTCGTAATTAATCTGAAAAATCTGGCAACCCAATTCTTAGTAAAATGACTATAAAATCCTCATACGTTGTCCAAATTCGATGATTATTTCTGCTACGAATCTGTAATTATGATATAGATCTAATTCTTCAACCAAAATAAAAATCGGAGCTCATTTGTTCAATGTGGTACCATTTATGCTTGAAGAAACGACGTCGAAACATAAGAAAAACGAGCGCAACACAATCCAATTCTATCCAAAACTCACCCGAGCCCCTCGATCCCGTACGAACATACCAACAAGTCCCATAACATAACACGGACTTACTCGAGGCCTCAAATCACGCATAATAACATAGAAACGATGAAACACATCTCAAATCAAACTTAATGAACTTTCGAACTTTCGACTTCCAAAAACTCGCGCCTAAACATATCAAATCAACTCATAATGAACTCAAATTTTGCACACAAGTCCAAATAAATCATGCGGAGCTAGTCGTGCCCCCAAACTACCGAGCAAAGTGCAAATGCTCAAAACGATCGTTCGGATCGTTACAACAATTTTAATTCTTCTTTAGTAAAAATCAGATGATCTAAAAGGATTGCATGATGAAAATCTCGTGGTAATGAAACTTATAACTTTAGTTTAAATATTTGAAATTTAATTTAAGATAACAAGGTAGACATTTTAGTGAACATTATTAAATATAAAAAGTTTCTACTTATTGGTAAAAATTTCAACTTGTGTTTGTTGACTAGCTTGCTCCATTTGAATACTTTAATTTGCTGCCTCAACCACTAGGGATCGAACCTTGACAGAAGCATTCAGTACAGATTATACAAGTTTAATAGAGATATGCCAAAGGTCTTGGGTGGGCGTATGGTGCACTAGTGCATGGTACACGACGCACTGCTGCATATTCCTCCAGGTCTTGGCAGTGCAAATGTAAACCTAAAAGCATGGCCTCGTTTATAGTATCATACGTTCTTTTGATGCTTGCATGGTATGATTTATGTATGTGGTCAACTCGAGGACAGGTGCATTGGTACGTGTCACACGGTTGATTATGTCATTGGACGTGGTCTATGTTGCTGACCTAATACTGCCTCAACCACCAGGGATCGAACCTTGACAGAAGCATTCAGTAGAGAATATACAAGCTTAATAGAGATATGCCAAAGGTCTTGGGTGGGCGTATAGTGCACTACTGCATGGTACACAATGCGTGGCGCATATTCCTCCAGGTCTTGGCAGGGCAAACGTAAACCTAAAAGCATGGCCTTATTTATGGTATCATATGTTCTTTTGATGTTTACATGGCATGATTTATGTATGTGGTCAACTCGAGGACATGTGCATTGGTACGTGTCACACGGTTGATTATGTCGCTAGCATATGTCATTGGACGTGGTCTATGTCGCTGGCCTAATCGTTGAGAGTGACCTATGTCGTTGTCCTATGTCTTCAGGTGCGACCTATGATGTTGGACTATGTCGCTGGAGGTGGTCAATGTCTATGGCCCGTAACAAGGCACTTAAAGGTTACTGCTATAAGTCGGCCAATAGTGCGCAGTGGGCAAGTCAGCATGTAGTGTGGGACATGGTAGCTTCCACGACTATTCCCAAACCATGTTGCAATCGGATATTTGGTTTACCTATTTCTTTTTTGTATTTTGTGTATTTCTCAGAGATCTAGTGGGCAAACACAAGTTAAAATTTTTACCAATAAGTAAAAACTTTTTGTCTTTAATGTTGTTCACTAAAATATCTAACTTTTTATCTTAAATTGAATATCAAATATTGAAATTAAAGTTATAAGTTGCATTACCACGAGATTTTCATCATGCAATCCTTTTAGATCATCTGATTTTTAATAAAGAAGAATTAAAATTGTGCACAAATTTAGGGGAACAATTTGAACAGGATAACATAAACCTTTCTCAATATTGAAATAGTAAAATCATCTTGCATCTCTTTATCCCACTAAATCTCCGAGAAATAAAAAAAATACAAAAATACTTAGGTAGAACGAATATCCAAGTGAAACGTGGTTTGAGAAATGCCATTAATGTATAACGTATTGGTCGTGTAGGCTACGATGTCCCACACTATATGCTGACTTGCCCACTGGGCACCATACACCGACCACCAGCAGTAACCTTGATGTTCCTATGCCTTCAGGTGCGACCTATGATGTTGGACTATGTCGCTAGAGGCGGTCAATGCTTATGGCCCATAGTAAGGAACTGATAGGTTATTGCTGTAAGTCAGCCAATGGTGCGCAGTGGGCAAGTCAGCATGTAGTGTGGGACATGGTAGCCTACACGACCTATGATGTTCTACATTAATAGAATTGCCCAAACCATGTTGCAATCGGATATTTCGTTTACCTAATTCTTTTTGTATTTTGTACATTTCTCAGAGATCTAGTGGGCTAAAGAGATTTATGATGATTTTACTATGTCAATATTGAGAAAAATGTATATTATCTTATTCAATTTGTTCCCCTAATTTTGTGCATAATTTTTAATTCTTCTTCAGTAAAAATTAGATGATCTAAAAGGACTGCATGATGAAAATCTCGTGGTAATGCAACTTATAACTAGTATTCAATATTTGAAATTCAATTTAAGATAAAAAGGTTGATATTTTAGTGAACATTATTAAAGATAAAAAGTTTCTACTTATTATTGGTAAAAATTTCAACTTGTGTTTGTTGACTAGCTTGCTCCATTTAACTACTTTAATTTACTGCCTCAACCACCAGGGATCGACCTGTTATGAAGCATTCAGTATAGATTATACAAGTTTAATAGAGATATGCCAAAGGTCTTGGGTGGGCGTATGGTGCACTAGTGAATGGTACACGACGCGTGGCTGCATATTCCTCCAGGTCTTGGCAGGACAAACGTAAACCTAAAAGCATGGCCTCATTTATGGTATCATACGTTCTTTTGATGTTTGGATGGCATAATTTATGTATGTGGTCAACTCGAGGATAGGTGCATTGGTACGTGTCACACGGTTGATTATGTCGCTAGCATATGTCATTGGACGTGGTCTATGTCGTTGGCCTAATCGTTGAGCATAGTCCCATGTCGTTGTCATATGTCTTCAGGTGCGACCTATGATGTTGGACTATGCCGCTGGAGGCGGTCAATATCTATGGCCCGTAGCAAGGCACTTAAAGGTTACTGCTGTAAGTCGGCCAATGGTGCACAGTGGGCAAGTCAGCATGTAGTGTGGGACATGGTAGCCTACACGACTAGTTTCGAGACTCTTTTCCTTTCTTTCTTCCTATCTGTCAATTCTAGATTTGCTTATACCTACAATTAAGTACCATTTGACAAGGTACTGATATTTTGCTTTATCATGGTAGATGGGATCATTTGGTTCTATTTGGAACTAATATGTTTGTATAGAAAGTCAAAGTTCTCTGCTTTATATGCTTGTGTGGAGATACACCTTAAGTGTTGCTTACAAGGATATGCAAAAGAATGAAATAAGCACAAAGTGAACTTGGCTTTGATCTGTTTTTATTAGTAAGGAGTAATTTGAATGAATAAGATGTCAGGCATGTATTTGCAATATACACCTTTGATATTGTTATATGAAATTATATTTATTTATATAAAGATTTTAAGTAGCCTAGTTCAAAGTTTTGAAATATTTTTACTGTTGAAGAGTAGAAAGTCATTCTTTTTTCTTTTCTTTAAACAAAATTTTTGTACCTTTTTATTTTTTCTACAAACTTTAATATTGTCTAAAATAAAACAAAATCATAAAATTACTATTAAAATTTTTTGGAGCCTTAAAATTTGGAGGGCCTAAATAAAGGCTTTATGTTGGCCCAAGAACAGGTGAAGTTTTGAAGAATGACAAATGAACTCAGTCATGGACCAGGTCCATCATGTGAAGCACAGTGTTTGTCAACCTATACATGTGAGATGCACGTGAAGGAGATAAGTCCCATTGATCAAGCAACAATATCTCCTGAACTGATCGAAAAGGTTGCATATGGGATAAAGAGAGAAAGTTTCCTTATGAGAAGAGAATACAATTCGGATAAAAGATAGGGTTGGAGTTTGTGTTGTTCAAGGACTGACCTTTGATGGAAGATCAGAAATTGAGTCTCAATCAAACTCTAATTACTAACTCATTAAATAAAAGTGATTGTTCTCTTTTGTAGGTATTGCACATACGTAGAAGTAAAACTAAATTGAGAGCAAAAGAGCAAGGTGATTTTGCAAGCAATTTATGTGAGATTTAAGTGTGCACTCCTGAAGCTACTTGAACAAAATAGAAGAACCAGTTCTATTGTATTTTTTCTTATTCTAGTTCAATTGTAGTAGGTGTTTTGTATTGTACCTTTCAGCTTTATCTAGAAGCAATTGTAATAGGTATTTTGAGTATTCAAGTTAGAGTTAACTTGAAGTTGTCGCAGCAGTTAGAGGCTGGTTGCTACAACGGGATTAGAGTTAATCCTTAGGTTTACAAAGAGTTTTGTAAATGCTATTTTGGCTCAGTGATTTTAGTGGAAGTTTGGGAAAATCCTACTGAGTAGTAGGTCGTGTTTTTTTCACCTTTTGAGCCAGGTGTTTTCCACGTAAAAATCTCTGTGTTCTTTATTTTATGTACTTTTAATTCCGCAAACAGTAGTAGTTAGATCACTTAGAAGAACCTGGTTCTTCTAGATCGAAAATTGGGTACCACGCAAATCACCCCCCCTTGTGTGGTATTGACGTTTAGAACATCAATTGGTATCAGAGCAGGTTATCCTTGAAGAGGCTAACACCTTAGGAAAAGATCAACATGAGTGCACCACCTGAGAACTGGGAAGGGCAATCCACTGCTAGGCCTCCACTCTTCAATGGTCAGTATTATTCTTGGTGGAAGAACAGGATGAGGGATCACATCATAGGGGAAGACTATGAACTCTGGGACATAGTCACTGATGGTCCTCTAGCAACCACAAAGAAGAATGCTGAAGGAGTTGATGTGCCAAAGACAAGAGCTGACTGCACTGCTGAAGACCTGAAGAAGTGGGAGAAAAATGCTAAGGCCAAGAAATGGCTTGTGTGTGGACTAAGTCCAGATGAGTACAGCAAGATCCAAAGCTGTACCACTGCTAAGGAAATCTGGGACACTTTGCAAGTGGCTCATGAAGGAACACCTCAAGTGAAGAGGTCCAGAGGAATACTGCTGTATTCTCAATATGAGAATTTCACTATGAAGGAAGGAGAAACTATCCAAGAGATGTATACTAGGTTCACTACACTAACAATTGAACTTAAGTCTCTTGGAAGGATTATTCTTGAAGAAGACAAGGTTGAGAAAATCTTGACAAGAGTTCTGCCAGTCTCATGGGAAAGCAAAATCACTGCTATTCAGGAATCTAAGAATATTGCTACACTCAAGCTGGATGAACTAATTGGAAATCTTACTGCCTATGAACTGAGAAGGCAAACCATGAAGATGGATACACCCAAGAAGGAAAGAAGTCTGGCTCTCAGAATTGCTGAAGGTTCAGATCTGGAGGATGATGAAATGGCAATGATCACAAGAGATTTCAAAAAGTACCTGATGAGAGGAAAGGGTTCTTCAAGAGGTACAACCTTCAACAAACCAAGGGCTCCTGAGAAACAGACCAATGAGGGTTGCTACAAGTGTGGTAAGACTGATCACATGATCAAGAATTGCCCTCAATGGGAAATTGAGTGGAAGAAAGAAAGGGCTGAACGAAGGAACAGGAAGAAGGAACAGGTTCAACCAAGAAGGAACAAAGGATCAACAAAGGCTATGGTTGCTGCCTGGGGAGAAACATCAGATGAGGACTCAGAGGATGAAGCTGGAGATGAACAGGAACTTATGGATATTGGAGAATCAGATGATGAACAAGAGGTAAGTATTCTTCATCTCAAAGACAAGATTAAATTTCTGTCTAAAGAAAGGCTGGCTGAGTTATTACTAGACTTCATTGATGAGTCTGAGATAATTAACAATGAGAAGGAAGATCTGTCTAGGGAATGTGTGATCCTAAAAGCAAAATGCAAAAGTCTAGAGTCTAGGGCTAATGAGAGTGATAGCAAAAATGCTGAGTTGAAGAACCAAGTTCTTGAACTTGACACCAGTGTCCTAGAACTTAAGTCTGAAAACTTAAAACTGAAACTAGGAACATGAAAGAAGAAAGTTGATCACACATATCTCACTCTAGAGGAAAACTTAGGAAAAATGAAGGATGAGTTGTACAAGAAGGATGAATTGATTAAAGTCCTAAAAGAAGATCTAGGAAAAGTGAAACATGAACTAGACAGAACTTGCAAATGGAACAAGGCTTCTGATGCACTTTCTTGGTTGCAAGAGCATCACAGTAGCAACAAAAGAGGACTTGGCTATGGGACTCAAGCACCAAAGTGGGACCCTAAAAGCAAGTACCTCACACTTCCTGAGAATAAAGTCTGCACACACTGTGGCAAGAATGGCCATTACAAAAATGAATACAATGCAAAAGAAAAGGCCAGTCAAAAGAACAAAGCCTTTGTTCAAGAAAAAAGTAAGCTGCCTGGGTGGGCAAGAAGGAATTTGATTCATCCTTTTGCCTATAGAAAGGGACCCAAACTAGTTTAGGTTCCTAAGACTAACCCCTAATTTCTTTTTGCTGGTCCAAGTGAAAGGAAGTAGCCAAATATGGTATATGGATAGTGGCTGCTCAAAACATATGACTGGGAACAAGGACCAGTTCCTTTCACTTGAAGACTTAAAAGGAGGTAATGTCTCCTTTGGTAATGAAAAGAAAGGTGAGATCATTGGGGTTGGAAATGTAGGTAAGACAGACTCTCACTCTATTGAGAATGTCTACTTTATAGATGGCTTAAAATATAGCCTGATCAGTGTGTCACAACTATGTGACAGAGGTAACCTTGTAGCATTCACCTCTACTAAATGCTTTGTGATTAATCTTACCACTGACAAGATTGTTTTGCGGGGAAAGAGAGTTAACAATATTTACATTGTAGATTTGTCCATTCTCTCAGAAAATAAAATCACTTGCCTAAGTGTGTTGGTTAATGATCCCCTCCTGTGGCACAAAAGACTTGGTCATGCTAGTTTGAATCAGCTAAACAAATTAGTCTCTAAGGACTTGGTGATAGGGTTGCCCAACATCAAGTTCAAGGAAGACAAAGTTTGTGAGGCATGTGCAAGGGGGAAGCAGGTAAGATCATCCTTCAAAAGCAAGAAAATGGTAAGCAACCAAGTCGTTGGAACTGGTCCATTTGGATCTCTGTGGTCCAATGAGAACCATGAGCAGAGGTGGAAAGAAATATGTAATGGTGCTTGTTGATGATTATTCTAGATTTACCTGGGTTCTATTTCTAACTTCTAAAGATGAAGCATTTGACATGTTTACTGCATTTGTTAGAAAAACTCAAAGACAATTAGGAAATCAACTTGCATCCATTAGGTCTGATCATGGAACTGAATTTGAAAATTCCAAGTTTGCTGAATTATGTGATGAAAATGGTATAAATCATAATTTCTCTGCCCCTAGAACTCCTCAACAAAATGGAGTAGTTGAAAGAAAGAATAGGACTCTTGAGGACATGGCTAGGACCATGCTTCTTTCTAGTAAACTGCCTCACAGCTTCTGGGCAGAGGCTGTAAACACTGCATGTTACATAATCAATAGATGCATGACTAGACCTCTTGTAGAGAAGACTCCCTATGAGTTACTTAAAGGGAGAAAATCAAACATATCCCATCTTAGGGCATTTGGTTGTAAGTGCTATGTGCATAATAATGGAAAAGACTCCCTAGGTAAGTTTGATCCCAGAAGTGATGAGGGAGTATTCTTGGGATATTCTTCACATAGCAAAGCATATAAAGTGTTTAATAAAAGAACTTTGTGTGTAGAAGAAAGTGTACATGTAGTATTTGATGAAACTAACATTCTTCCTGAGAGACAGGAACATGAAGATGAAGCCATTGGATTGGTAAAGGACTTGACTGAAGCCTCGGCACAAGTCAATGTGGCACCAACAAAAGGAACAGGTGATGGAACAGGTTCTTCCATCCAGGCAACCTGACAGAGGGAACTAATCAAAGAGAAATTGAAATAAATTCCTTAAAGGAACCTGTTCATGACCCTGTTCCTCAGTAACAGAACATGGAAGAAACATCCAGTAGAAACCAGTTGGTTGTGAAACCCCATAAGTACCAAAGTTCTCATCCCATTGAAAACATTATCACTGATCCAACATCTGGAGTCAAAACTAGATCAGAATTAAAGAATCTGTGTGCTTTTGATGCATTTTTATCTCTTATTGAACCTAAAAATG